CTTGCGAAAAAGTACTATAAATATCAAAGACAGCAAATTTTAAACATAGGTTTATTTTTCTTTTAAATATAAATGGAACTGCACTGACAGAATCTTGAAAGCCATCTGTCAAAGCCGGTAATCTAACCGATCTAAACGCATATTTTTTTTTATTTTTTTATTTTTTTTTATAGGATAGGGTGACAAACGAGCACACAGTCCACCTGATGGTAAGTGGTTGCTGTGGCCCATAGACATCTACATTTATCCTCGTTTGCGAATAAAATTGCAGATGCGTTGTCATCCGTGAGGACTAAGATAGAATGCCTCCTTTCCAGCAAAAAGGGTCTCCGGTTCTCTAAACTCACCATGCGGAACACAGCAGCATGAAGCTGCTATTTGACGCTGGTATTCTGTGAGAGCGTGGTCCTACCCCGGTCGAGCCGACCCATTCGTGCTACAACTATACTACTAATATAGCTGCAGCATGGCTCTACCACGTAATAAATAGTTTCATAGTCCGTAAGCAAACCAAATTCGATTCTCACCGGCACCACTCGTATTTTAATTGCATTTTGAAGTGTCAATTTACCACGTTCACGATGATGAAGCAAAACATCGCGAGGAAACCTGCATATCCTAAAAGTTTAAAAAAATTTTGGAAATTGTTTTTAGGTATATATGAAATCGGTCATCCCAAGTTGTAGTCACCTCAGTCAACCCTTTTTTGTCCTAATACTCGCTGCGGCCTATGCCTACTAGTGGGATGTATGAAGGCTGCTACTTTTTTAATTTTAATATTACTATCCACTGCTGATCATAGCCTTCCCCCATTGTTTGGCCGGATATTTGCAGTAGTAGCCACGCTTGGCAAGCAGGTAGGCAAACGAGTTTTTACTACTTTGCGCTGTTATCAGGAAGATGCTGCCACCCATCTCCTGTGTCAGTTTTTTTTATAGGATAGGGTGACAAACGAGCACACAGTCCACCTAATGGTAAATGGTTGCTGTGGCCCATATACATCTACATATATCCGCGATTGCGAATCAAAATGCAGATGCGTTGTCACTAGTGAGATCTAAGATAGAATGCCTCTTTTACAGTAAAAAGAATCTCCGGTTCTCTACACTCGCACTACGAAACACAGCTGTGTTAAGCTGCTATTTTATGCTGTTAATCTGTGAGAGCGTGGTCCTTCCTCAGTCGAGCCGACCCATTCGTGCTACAACTATACTACTAATATAGCTGCAGCATGGCTCTACTACGTAGAAAATTCGCTTTATCTTTATAATTAAAATTTATCTTAATAATACAAATCCTTCTATCGCCTCTTACGACACTTTTCTTTTTCTTCGTCTCATCATGGATAATATATTTCTACTCCCGTTAAACAAGTTGGATATTTGCCATAGTTACCACGTTTGGCAGTCAGGTTGATAACTGCATCGTTTTCAGGCTGCTCGCTGTAATCAGGAATATGTTGCCTATCTTCTGTATAATTCTGCTCCCGTTCTTGAGTATAGTTCTTCTCACACGTGTAACGTAAATACAACTTAAAATTCAAAGTATACTCAAACCTAAAAAAATACCGGCATCTATTTTATGCCGCCAATCAATATCCAATGGGGCCAATGATTTGAATCAAATATCGCAAATAAACACTAAGCCGCGTATTAATAAAAGACCATGAATTTAACTTTATTTTGTCAAAACTAAATTAACATAAATTAGAATAAATGTAAATAACGCATTTCTGATTCCAGGATAATTTACCCTTAACAAACCTTCTTATGGGCTTCCCGAGAAATTGTGCAATTGGATCATTAGCTCTCTTGCAGATTGGGGGATCAAGGTCGTTTTAGACGGTGCATGCTCCGACAACAAGCCTATTAACGCTGGTGTTCCACAAGGCTGTGTGCTATCACCAACGCTGTTTCTTCTGCATATCAATGATATGTTGCAAACCGGTAACATTCATTGTTATGCGGATGACAGCACTGGTAATGCTCTATACACCAACCGTGCCAATATTTCTCGGAAAAACGTCGCATAGTAACGGAACTTGTGTCTAAATCTAGTCTAGTGTAATCCTCAGAACACAAGTTTGCGCGTTTACCGCTAAAAAGAAACCCTTTGTATTATCTCCTGAGTTTCAAGGCATTTCCCCTGTTGCCTCAGCCAGTATCGGAATCCTCATCGTCGACATATCGAGTGACGTGCAGTTTCGTGGTCACTTGGAAGAGAAGGCCAAATTGACCTCTAAAAAGCTTAGCGTGCTCAGCAGAGCGGGACAGTATTTCATGCTGGCACAACGCCTGCAAATTTAGAAGGCGCAGGCTCGGCCTCACATGGAATACTGTTCCCATCTCTGGGCTGGGGCTCCCCAGGACCAGCTCCTTCCACTTGACCGCATCCAGCGCAGATCGTCGACGACCGAGTCCTTTCCGATCGGCTCGATTCATTGGCGCTGCAAAGGGATGTTGCATCCCTTTGCATTTTGTTTCGCATTTACCTCGGGGAGTGTTCTGAGGAATTGTTCGGATTAATCTCAGCCGCCAAATTTCACAAACCCACAACGCCGCAGAATTCCTGATATCATCCACAACATCTGGATAATTGGTGGTCCGCCACTTTGCGATTTAGAAGATGTTTTCATTGTTGCACAACTTCCCTGTTGAATCTATTACCACCAGCGATTATTTCGGACCGATACGACTTAGGGACCTTCAGGAAAAGAGCTTACTTCTTTTTAAACGGCCGGTAACGCATCTGAAATTCCCCTGGTCCCCCTGTTGTTGCAGTTGTTCATGGGCGGCGGTAATCACTTACCATCAGGTGAGCCGCATGCCCGTTTGCCCCCACTCCTATAAAAAAATTGATAGTGATGTAGTGTGGATCACCCCATATAAAAATACTTATGTGGTAGTTATGTTTCGAGCCTATTGGAATGAATACGCATAACTTTAATTTTTTCATAGTTATTAAATCCACATCGTGTGCCCATTTACAAAGAAGGTTGAAATGTTTTCACATTAGGTTTATGTCATTATTAAAATCTATGTCGGCTATTAAAAACGTGTATCTGCAAACTGGTTTATAAACTAGTAATACAAAACCTTCTTCAAATACATTATACTACATATCATTGCAGTGTGACAAATATTTGGTTGGACCGAGTATGAACGCCAGCGCTATGTCGAGATCAGAGATAAGGTCACTGTCTACATAATCCATTCTGTGCGCTGTATATCAATATAAATCAATGTTCAAATATGTATTAAATGTTCGTGGTGTGGTGGTGTTGTAAGAATACCCTGTACCACTGGTGTCAATTTGTTTACTAAATTGAAATGCTACTATCAAATGTTTGTGAGAAATGTTAACTGATTATGAAGCCGTGCACTGAGAGCTGCAAACGAGTTCGTTCCTGGACAGCATACTGGTTAATTTTTGAGTCACCCTTCTTAAAACCCTGATTTGGCACCGTGTGACTTCTTTTCGTTCCTTAAAATAATACAGGTACAGTCTTCATTGCTGGAAGATGCGCTAGCAGTGTTCAAAAAGGCCATTGAAAATTTGTCTCAGGTGGACTGGAAAACTGTTTCGAAAAATAGTTTTAGTCATGATAATTTGTTTAGCTGTTAGTGGAATGTTCTATAATTAGATAAAAAATATTAACTTAAGGGAAATTTAATTAAATAAAATAATTTTTTTGTTTCACAAACCATTCTGAGTGCGTATACGTGAGCATGTATGTATATTCATTTTTTATATGATAAGGGCGACAAATGAGCACACAGTTGACCTGATGGTAAGTGGTTGCCGCGGTCGACATATATCTACATCTATCCTCGATTACAACCCAAAATTAAGATGCGTTGTCACTCGGGAGGACTAAGATGGAATGCCTTGTTTCCAGTAAAAAGGGTCTCTGGTTCCTTAACATTCATCATACGAAATACAGCAATGTTAAGCTACTATTTTACCCTGGTATTTTGTGAGTCGTGGTTCTTCCCCAGTCGAGCCGACCCATTCGTGCCACATCTATACTATAATTATAACTGCAGCATGGCTCTACCACGTAAAAATCATAACTATTATTTTTATAAAGTAAAATAAGTAAAGAAAAACTCAATAAAAATATTTGGCAAGACCCGGGATTCGAACCCGAGACTTCATGGTCTAGAGCTAGACCAACGAGGCAGTCAAATTCGTGAGTTTACTTGTAGATTGTTATCCACTTTTTTGAAAAAAAAAAGTGGTACTATATCTATATAACTTTGTAATAAACGATAGTTTAAACGAACCGACTGTCCAACTGATGATAAGTTGCTACTTCACTCACACACACACACACGCACACACACACACAAACTCCGCATGCTTGCACACACTAATACAATTAAGATTATCGTTTTTCTTTTATTATTTTTTTTTGAAATTTTAGAACTATCAAACTTAGTTATGGAAGAGCGGGGACTCCTGACACAAGTATATATATAATACTTAAAAGGTTTGGCCCCAACCTTTGATTGTTATAAAACAACTGTCATTGCTATTGAAATAAACATTTTTTGATTTTTTTTTTTGACGTCAGTTCATAAACAACTTCAAACTAAGAAGACTACATATTATGCGTTGTCACTTCTGAGAACAAAGATAGTGATGTAGAGGCCTCACATCCTGTAATCATACTGACTCTCTACCTTTTGCAGTGCACGCACTGCTACTTGGCAACAGAAATGGATATAGGTTGGTACATTAAAAGATGGAATCCAAACCAGGAAAGGAGTCTTTCCACCTCGTATGTAGGATGTATTATTGCAGTGACTTGTATATTTCATATATTATTCTAGTTTATTATTATAGGACTAGGGCAAACAAATCTGCCGTATGTCAGACGAGATTTGATCCAAAGCTGCTACCAAGTAGGGAGTAAAGCGTGCAACCAACCAATAGATAATACGATGGAGGCAGTGAAGAGAGGCCTTTATTCAGCTATAGGATAGTATAGGTTAATAATGGATATGTTGTATATTACAGTGAGCTACGTTTGCCTGATGATGGGCGTCATGTTAACGTGGCCATCATCCACCCTGCTTCTGTTCTCGTCTGAAAATACCACACTGAACCGGCCCATGACAGAAACCGAGGTGTCACTCTTCGGTAGCCTTTCCTCTATCAGTGCTATGATCAGCACACCTTGCTCCGGATACCTTCTAGACAAGCTTGGTAGAAAATACTCCTGCATGTTGTTCTCATTGCTTCAAGTGGTAAGTCACACTTACACTTTCTATGTAGATAGTACGATTAAACAGCGAGATCTTGACAACGCCACGCTGCAGCTATATTATGGATGTAGCACAAATGGATCGGCTCGACCGGAAAAGAACAGCGTTAAAGAGCCGCATAATGCTGCTGTATTTCGCATCATGAGAGTAGAGGAACCGGATACTTTTTTCACTGGTAACTAGCCATTTTATCTTAGTCTTCAGGGGTGACAACGCAACTATATTTTGATTCTTATCGAGATTTAATGTAGGTGTTCATAGGCCACTGTATCCATTTACCATCAAGCGAAATGTGTGCTCTCATTCTATAAAAAATGAACCATTTTTATATTTTGTCAATTTCAATAAAATTATATTGTATGTAGTTGTAATAAAGTCGTTTCCTTTTTGCAATATCAGAGTAGTCGAAAGCAAGAACACGCGCTTTCTCCGACAATGATTTTAAAAATTACAGTTTGTAGGTATTGTGGTGGTGGTTTAAGCGAGTTCGTCCTTTGGGTGGCATAAGTTGCTATGACAAATTTATTTAGTTGGCGCTATAACCATCTCGTTTACACCGCGCATCAAAGGTGCAACTAATTCGCCTGCTAAACGTAGTGCCCAAAATATTATAGGACAGTATGTTCAGCTGTGGAGCATTAAGGGTAAATCATAAAGAGAAGTATAAAAGCAACGAATCATCTATTTTCTGTGATGTTTGTGCTCTTACAGATTCGTATGGCACAGTGCTATTTCTAAAAGCTAAGTATGCTACGTCTGTAATCACAGGGTAGCAATGGGATATTTATGGGCTAGTGACGAAGAACTGACATTTCCTAAACATCCTAAAAATATCTTTATCACCTGGTACTAAATATCTATAAGCATCCTGACCATCATCATTACAGCCCTTCACAAGTCCACTGCTAAACATAGGCTTTCCTCATTGAATACTACAAAACTCGGTCTTGAACCAGCTTTGTCAATAGAATCTCTTTATTTAATATTTTAAATTAATTTGTACTGGGAAATTACAACTTATTTATTCAAGATATCATCTTACACTGATTCTTAGTCAAAGTAGTATCACAAGCGGTGAGACGTGAGAGAGTGAATACTTAACTATCTTTTATTATTGTCAATGATTATTACGTCAGATTATTTAAGGAATTTTCCTTACAGTCGATCATAAACTTAATCTTTTATATCAACAGTTATGTATTACTCGTGCACGATAAGAATGTTAAACGAACGCTAGACTTCACATTGCGTGTTTACTTCAAGCGCTTTGTGATTTTGTGAAGAAAATCAAACAAAACACATTTAATTTTTTTTTCCAACTTTAAAAAAGGAGGTTTTCAATTCAACTGTATGTTAGTAGGTTGTGCTTCAGTAAACTACTATTTAAATCTAAAGAATAAATTACAATACCCAGGGTGGAAAAAAGGCGATAAATCTATACAAATAAATAAAATTAAAGTGTCTGTTTATAATGTCAAAATTACGGCTTTTTACTAAATGCATATGAAAGTATATACGATACTTATAACAAAAACACAATTTTTAAAATTTTGTCTGTCTGTCGGTCTGTCTGTCTGTCTGTCTGTCTGTTTGTTCTGGCTAATCTCTGAAACGGCTGGACCGATTTTGACGGGACTATCACTGGCAGATAGCTGATGTAATAAGGAGTAACTTAGGCTACTTTTATTTGAGCAAAAGAATTAGGGTTCCGTGCAAAAAAAACTAAAACCCCAAATAACACGCGGGCGAAGTCGCGAGGATCAGCTAGTTGTTTAATATAAATGGACTAGTTATCATCTTATGCTTGTGTTATTGTTTAATTCATTCAAAGCTTTAAATATTATTGTTTAATTCATTCAAACCTTAAAAAAATTAAAACCTTATTCATTAAACTAAATAGAATAAAATGATTTGCACATATTTTAATAGCTTCTGAAGTCGGAGCTTTAATTCTACTTGTGTTTTGAATTTGCCTTCTTTTTTATTTTATTTTTTACCTTTTTTTAAATTCATAGAGTAATATGTGCGAGTTTTTTGCAATCGGCGAACATATCGCCTAGCATGCGCATAAAAATACATTCTAATTTAGAACCACCTACTTTGTGTTGTGTGTAAATTAAATGACGTATAAGAATTATTCTGCTAGGTATATTGAAAAAAATGTCTAAATCATACTGTATCACCTGTATAAAATGTATAAATAATTCCAATAATATTTGTTAGGTTCAGCTGTTAAGGAAAAATTTAAGTTAAATGTATTAAGACCAATAATAGTCACATAGTATGGAAAAACCTAATAACTCTGGCCTGTGCCTACAGCACTAATACCCGTACTATCAAAAATATTTAAAAGGGCTACGTTTATGAGGCAAATGAAATCAAAACAGTTTTTAAAGGGATAAGTCGACAACCTTAGCAGCTTTAAAACTTACCAACACTATTTCATGTTATGTAGATAAATCATATTATTCTTTGATATCTACTCATATCAAAGACTTTTGCTAGGAGTAGTCCATGTCATACGAGGCTTTCGATCTTACGACTGGCTCAAATCTTACTTATCCAAAAGACTACAAAACGCGGAAGTGGCTAACATAGAAAATAATCTTGATAAAACGCTCTTTATCGAGCATACAAACTAAAGATTGTGGTTTGCCAATAGGCAGTATTCTTGGCCCATTATAGTTCCTCTTACACATTTATGATCTTCCAAAAACCACATATCACTTTCGTATACTATTTGCTGATGATATTATATCAGTGGTAATACCAAATTCTCATAGATCCTCTACGGAATATTATAATGCAATTAGCAGAATATATCGGACTATAAAATGGTAAAATAATAATTTAAATAATATGTATTTTTTTATAGGATAGAGTTATAAACGAGCACACAGTCCACCTGATGGCAAGTGGTTGCTGTGTATATAATATAGCTGCAACATGGCTCTACGTAAACGTGTTAAAATACTTAAAATAATTACCACCTTTACCATCATCATTAGAACTTAGACCACAACTGAACATATTCTTCACCCAAGTAATGCCACAAAGCCCGGCCTTGAGCCATCTGCAACTATCTATTTCCTGCATGCCTTACCAGCTCATCACTCTATCTAGTTCGAGGCCGCCCTATACTTTACTTACTAGTACGACGCTGCCATTCGAAAACATTTTTACTAATCGGCTGCTGGTTCTTCGAGCTACATTACTGGCCCATTGCCACTTCAGTTTACTGATCCCTTCGAATAGATAAGTTGATCACTCATCTAGATATGTTGTTCTATACTCCACTTGCCAATTTAAAAACCACTCGAAGCCAGTACTTGACTACAACCTCACCTGATGGTATGTGCACTGACTTAGCTTAAAGATTATTTGCTCTTGCCTTTAAGATACCTATAAATGCTGGTAACCTATTCCAATACTTTAAATTTTCCTTAATGTTTAGTATCTGAATAATAAATGGATATCATAAAATATACTTTGTTACAGCTTTCCTGGGTAATTGTGACAGTTTGCTACAAAGTGGAAGCAATCATCGCGTCAGTCGTCTTATCAGGACTAAATGGCTGTATGTTGCTCGTAGTACCCCTCTATATAAGCGAAATCTGCCAGGAGTCAATCAGAGGGACGATGACGTCAGCTGCCATGGTGTTCTACGGGATAGGGATGCTTGTTTCTTACCTCATGGGCGGCTATTTAGCTTACGACACGATGAACTACTCCTGTCTGTCCATGACTGTACTGGGGGTGGTGTTTCTTGTGCTTATGAAGGAGTCGCCGATGCATCTGATGTCGAAAGGTCTAGAAAAGGTTTGTGAAGTAAATTTATGGAATGACTTGACATCAAATAGTTTAGCCTTTTTACTACTATTAAGACTAAGTATGATAGTAAAAACTTAAAAAAATAATAATTACCTCTTATTCAATAATGTATTTTATCTAAATTTTACTAGCGTAATCAATCTCCATTTCTTAACAGGAAGCCGCAAGATCCATCGCATATTACAGAGGTGTTAAAATAACTTCCAAAGTTGTTGAAGAAGAAATTCAAATGCTTCGAAGAGCGCTAAATCCGGAGCTGGACGGTTACATTTTTATATTTTTTATAATGTTATTTATTTTGTAGAGTGAATATGTAAAGTAGAAATATGTACATTATTTAAATTAAGATCAAAATTCTATTTAAATTATTGAACCTTTTTTATAGAAGAGGAGGCAAATGAGCATGCGGCTCACTTGATGGTAAGTGACTACCGCCGCCGATGAACATTCGCAACACCAGGGGAATTGCAGATGCGTTGCCGGCCTTTTAGAAAGGTGTAAGCTCTTTTCTTGAAGGTTCCTAAGTCGTATCGGTCCGGATAATTCTCTGGTGGTAATCGATTCCACAAGGAAGTCGTGCGAGGAAGAAAACATCTTCTAAATCACACAGTGGTGGACCGCCAATCATCCAGATGGTGTGGATGGTATTGGTAGTTCTGCCGCGATGTGCGTTCGTGAAATTTGGCGGTTGGAATAAACCGAACAATTACTCAAAGCACTCCCCGTGGTAGATGCGAAAGAAAATGCAAAGAGATGCAATATCTCTTCGCAGTGCCAATGAATCGAGCCGATCGGAATCTCGGTCGTCGACGATTCGAGCCGCTCTGCGCTGGATGCGGTCAAGTGGAAGGAGCTGGCACTGTGGAGCCCCTGCCCAGAGATGGGAACAGTATTCCATGTGAGGCCGAACCTGCGCCTTGTAAAGTTGCTGCTGAGCACACCAAACTTTTTAGAGGCCAATTTGGCCTTCTCTTCCAAGTGACCACGAAAGTGTCACTCGATATAACGACTCCGAGGATTCCGATACCGGCTGAGGCAAGAAGGGGAGTGCCTTGATACTGAGGAGATACGGCAAAGGGGTTCTTTTTAGCGGTAAACGCGCAAACTTGTGTCTTCTGAGGATTAAACTGGACTAAGTTTAGTCGCCCCCAATCCGAGACTTTGTTCAGTGAAGAGCTTCGAAAGAAGTGCTTTCTGCCAAACCCGATCGAAGGCCTTCGCAATGTCCAAACTAACGGCCAACGCCTCCCACTTGGACTCTACTGCCTCCGCCCATCTATGGGTCAGGTAGACTAGAAGATCACCAGCTGATCGACCCCGACGAAAACCGTATTGACGGTCACTAATCAGCTGGTGACCCTCAAGGTACCGCATGAGCTGGCAGTTAATAATGGATGCCATTATTTTGGAGAACAAGAAGGTGACGGCGATAGGCCTACGGGACTCCATGAATTCGGGACTACGCCTTGGGAGTAGGAGTACCGGAAAAGACGCGTTAGGACCGATGCCAACTCCGTAGCACACGTCCTCAGCACAATTGGGGGGATTCCGTCAGGCCCACTCGACTTCTGGATGTCCAGGGAGAGGATTGCTTTGCGAACCGAGCGCTGTGAGAACAGCACACCCGGCATGGAGCACTCACACCGCGGGATGGTCGGCGGTGTTTTCCCCCCGTCATCAAGAGTCGAGTTGGACGCAAAAAGGGAGCCTAAAAGATCGGCTTTGTCTTTTGCGGCTTGGGCCAGTGAGTCGTCCTCCCTGTGCAGAGATGGTAGTGATGGCTAACAGAAATTCCCTTGGACAGCCTTGGCGAGATACCAGTATGCACGGGTTCCCGAAGGAAGGCGAACTAGTTTCTCGCCAATTCTGCCTATGTGCTCTGACTTTGCCTTGGCAATAACTTTTTTGAAGGACCTTGAGGCGAAGTTATACTTCTTTTTAAGTGTGCTGGTGTTTTCATCCCGAGTCGCCGAAGTCGCAGCCCAGGCTTGATAACACTCCTGCTTACTGCGTAATGCAGTCTTACAGGAGCGACCAAACCAAGGCTGAGATCTGCCTCCGATGGGTACCACAGATGATGGAATAAATAGTTCCATTCCCTGTAGCACTACATCAGTGACAGAGTCAGCAACAGCGCTGGAATTATCCGACGAGAAGCAAACCCGCCCCCATGGGTAGGAAGCAAAGAAAGACCGCATTCCGTCCCAATCCGCCGACCTGTAATGCCAAACACGGCGGCAACCTGCAGATCGTAACCGCGAGGGGAGCGTGAGTGGCACCACACTCCGGATCAGACAATGGTCCGAAGAGCCAAGAGGGGCATCGACGGAAACCTGATATCCGTCCGGATGAGAGGTCAGCAGAAGGTCCAACAGGGAAGGTGTATGATCCTCAACATCTGGAATCCGCGTAGGCGATTTAACCAGTTGTGTCACACTATATGCCAAGGCAAAGTCATAAACAGATCTCCCCGCATGATCGGTTAAACGTGAACCGAGCCATTCGGCGTGGTGGGCGTTAAAATCGCCAAGGATCACGATCTCTGCGGATGGGACCTGTTGTAGCAAGGAATCTGTAGCCATTTGGACGTGGTCGATGAGTCGGTCTGTTTCGGCATTACCGCTATGGGACCTATAGAGGCACACGTAGACGCGGGGATGGTCGTCGCTGTCTACGCGTAGCCAAAGGATGGACAGGTCCGAACCTTCAAGACTGCCGAGGCGTCGAGAACAGATGTCCTCTCTGACGCCGTCTCAAGATGGTAGTGGACGGCGGTTAGGTTCGAGTGAAGTCCCCTGATGTTGCAGAAATTCACGGATAGCGTGGCAGGGGTCGCCTTGGTCTTGTTGCTCAGTTTGCCCCGAGCAGTTATTGTGTTGAGCGGAATTTTGCCCCCCATCCCCCCAGAATACGCGGGGCAGCCTGAGCACCCACGCTCAGGAGTGGAATAGCATGGTCGTGGATGCTCAGCGAGGGATTCTCCAGGGGTACTGGTACCCTCCTGGGGTAGTTTATGACGTAATTCCGCTACCATGTTGATGGGGGGGGGGGATTGGGCATCCAGTCACCTGCACTCACCAGACGAAACGCGGAAGCAGAGCTTCCACTTCACGCCGGTATTCTGTGAGGTCGTGGTACTAACCCGGTTCGAGCCGGCTCATACGTGCAACAGCAAAAGCTGCTGCAAGGCTCTACCACCGTTTAAGGTGCTAATTTTATTATTATTGTATTCTTAATTTTTACTACCCCATATCGTCCTGTGGGTTTTTTAAGAATTGGCGAAGGGAAAGAAACCAAGAGATGGGCAACAGCGTCTTCCTAATAACAATTAATATTTAAAAAAATTTAGCTGCCACCCGCCGAGTAATTTTTTGCCTTAGGCAACTATGGCAAATATCCACCATATGTAACAATCCATGTGGGTGGTTTATGTTTAGCATTGGACTATTAATAGGCAGCAAGGTAACGGTTGATCCCTATAATCTAAGCAGGCAGTACCAGACAGCTGGCACCTTCGATGCAGCTATCAGTCGCCGCGCCTGTCTACGTCCAGTTTACGTTTGTCTTAAACAAGATAGTACATAACCTGTTCATATGAATGTAAAGGCTTGTTAATAGACAAAGCCAGATAAAAAATAATTTTAAATTTGTAATTCGTTGATGAATTTGAATTATCTTCAAATTTGTCAACGAATTACAGTCAAAAATCGTCAATAAATCGCACCGCCGGAGACCCGGGTTGTCAATTCCAGCAAAAAAATTGACACTTCTTTGTGTATAAGGGTGACAAACATACAATCCAACTGATTTATACGCATAAAGCCACACAGCCCCACTGCAGCTATATTATGGTTGTAGCACGAATGCGTTGGCTTGATCGAAGAAAAAACACGTTCTCACAGAATACCAGAGTAAAATAGGAGCTTAATCCTGCTGTGTTTCATATAGTTAGTGGAAAGAACCGGAGATCCTTTTTACTGGAAACGAGGCATTATAGGGTGATAACGCGTCGATATTTTTGATTCTTAATCGAGGAGTGATGTAGATGTATATGAGTCACAATATCCACCTACCACCAGGAAGACTGTTTTCCCGTTTCCGCCTTCAACTTGACTTTACTCTATATGAAACATATGCTATTTTACGCTGGTTTTGGTGAAAGCATTTTGAAAGTACTTTGTTCTTGATGTTTGTGTTCATGATAATTTTTGTTATAAAATATTTTCGCTGCGTTTAAAAACCTATTTATCTTTTCGCAGATTTAACTCCCGAAGTGGAAAAACTACAGCCTACACTGGAGAAAAAATCCAAGATATCCGCGTGGAAGTTCTTTAGTAAGTTGGTTTACAGATGAAAATAGTTCAGTTATGAGATATTTATAGATGTTCGTCCACCGCATTGCTAGTGTAAGTGTTGACACAGTTTCGTCACAATTGGACACTCTGGCGGATCATATATATGAATTAGATTATACACATGTGTTGAGGGTTTTAGCCAGTAGAACGGCGGCATAACATTTTCGTTGCACCCGCAGTGGAACGTATCCATGAGGGTTAAACCACACTAAAAAAAGGTTTTCTCACAATGTACACTGGCGAGCATGTGGTAACGTTGCATATAAAAAATAAAATAAGAATTTTTGGTAGTGCCAGCGGGGAAACTGAGAATTAAATATGAAAAAACTTCTATGAAAAATCATAGCTGTTTTATGGCATTTTATGACTTTTTATAACGCATGTGTTACGGCGTGCAGCTGCCTATCTAATCGTAGGATCCTCCCGGCCCATGAAGGACGAACCTATAGGCAGATACAGGTCGGGCCTCCTAAGGCCAAAGTGGAAAATCTCTAATTACACTAAACAATAAGGGGGAGCGTTCCATACTACTTCCATTCAACAGGGAGAATATTAAACGGAGCTTACTTACCTATATCCAAGGCGACCGGTCCCTCAGGATTCGGTCAGGTCGCATGTGGTTGTGTGGTGCAAGGGAAATAAGGTGCTGTGATGTGTATTGGGGTGTGACTGGTCGTGATTGACCTTATTAGACCTTTGCCGTCGGCAGCAGCCCAAACGTGAGCACCGCTCCAAATTGAGGTAATCTTTCGCGGCGCCGTCCACAGCCACTTTCTTCGTTCGTGACGATGACAGTCCATTAACTCTATCGTACGATTAACTAACTTACTGAAGCCACTAACTCTCGTTTATTATAAGCTTAACGCACAAAACGAGCACGGAGTGTCCGGATCAAAGGTCACTACCGTTTCGCGTAGCAACAGTTATTTCTAGAATATCAAAGGCCGCACTAGCTAATATTGTCGAGTGCACTTATACAGTTTCTGAGTCGGACCCAATAAGTCCCGGGAAAGGCTATCCAACAAGGAATGCGCGTTACAAATCCTAGACAGGATATTTACTAGACGCCTAAACTATTCCGCTGTTCCCGTACAAAAATTGACAGCGTGCTGACGTTAGCACAGCTGGCAGACGACTCGTATTTTTTCTCGCGCGTTCTACCCACCGCTCGACCGACGTCAAACCGGCATGGCGCTGAGCCGAGCGCCCTCTAACGTCGATTCCGAAACCAGCGTTCGGGCGTAAACAGTATGTAAAAACAAAAGTCAGACTGAGCCTATGTAATTCGCAATCGCGGCAACCTGGAATTATCACTTAAATGCCTTCGTGGTTTCACTTCAAAGGACTAAGATGAAATGTCTCATAGCAAGTAATTGCACTGGCTCTCTAGTATAATTAATGTCTTTCAGACAGTATATAGGTTACAGCAGCCAGTCTCGACTAAGACTAGCCATATGCGACAGGAGAGGATTGAAGTACACGCCTATATGCGCAAACAAAGGTGTACTTTCTATTCCCTCACTATGGGACCGCAATCCAACACGACCCGAGAGCTTTAAACGTGCTTTCCGAGGCTATTAAGAATTTCTTGGCAGAAAAGCCTAATAACTGATTTTGCCCGACCCGGGATTCAACCTGGTATTCGGGACCTTAAGATCGGCAGTCGCGTTAACGGCCACGTAAAACGGTATTTAAAATGCTTTCAGTGTATTGGAAAAATTCCGGGCTATTCTTTTTGAACAAGACTAAAATAATACAGCAATAGAGAAGGCAAAAAATACATTCATTTACATAACATAATATACAATATTTTATTTTATTATATACAATATAAAAAAAGATAGAAAAGTAAATTACATATTTTACGTTACAGAAAAATCTCGATCAACTCGGCAAGCATTAATGGTGTCCCTTGTTTTGTACACGTCTGGGGTCTTCCAAGGGATGATGGTAGTGCAGGTGTACGCGGAGCCTTTGTTCTCGGAAGCCGTACCGACTATGTCCCCGGTTATTTGCAGCGTTATATCCGCAATCGTGGGAGTCATTTCCGGTTTCATTGGTGCCTTCTTAGTCGAGTGGGCAGGCAGACGGGTTAGTACTATTTAAAATTAATCTTCTTACTGTTTGATAGGGAAAAATTCATAATTTCGTTTTATATCGCGGGTTTAGTCTATAGAAATCATCATGGCTTTCGATAGATGGCAGTATAGACAATCCGTTTATGCCAGACTTAAATTATATCCAGTTTAGCGACGAAGAGCAACGTCAAAAGTGTGACACATCTAGTGTTGCAATCGCCAATCAGGAAGATTATCCAGCCAATCCAGTACTCTGTTTCGTACCGTGGTTTTCGTAAGAGCCGACTGTGGAAAGCACCAGAAAAGTCTCTAGTATGATAATTTTGTATACCGTTACCGTTACCGTTACCGTTAACGTTACAGCCTATCAAAAGTCCACTGCTGAACACAGACCTATGCCATAAATGGCCTCACAGCAAAGCTATTTGCCTTAGGCTACGCTTGGCAAGCAGGCAACCCAATTTTAATTTTTGGGTTATTATCAGGAAGATGCTGCTGCCCATTTCCAATTTATTTTTCCCCCTGTCACCACCTACAACACCGGAACGGAATAATATTGGATAGTTAGTATTCTTACACGATTATAGGTACACACGACACGTTCATTATAACTATTTATACTATTATAACTACTTATGAAAATTTTAATTGATTTGTTTCTTGCAGTCGCTGATGATCTACGCTTCAATAGCTTCAGGTGTTTGTTGTTTAATCCTTGGGACCCAAATTCATCTGCACTGGGGCCCGCACTGGATGACAGCATTGTTCATCTACCTGTTCGTATTCACGTACACGTGTGGTGCTGGCACTGTTCCTTATGTGCTGGTTGCCGAGGTGTTCTTGCCTGAGGTTGGTATTAATTATTGTTAGTAATAGTTTATCGAAAAGCAATCCTCCTTTTTTATATATAGAACAATTTTTAAAGTAACACCTATGACTTAAGTTATATAAACTGTATTATATTTTTAAGTAGATTGGTACTCAAAGTTAAAGATAGCTTGGATTCACTTTAACAACAGGACCTTCCTATGTAACCATATATATTATAAAGCGACCAAAGTTCGGGAATTAAAATAAGTTTAATTAAACGCAATAAAATCCGTAATAATGAGGGTATAGTCTGTCTGATCATTCATTCACCATTCATTATAGCCTATCAACGTCCAGTGCTGAACATAAGTCTCGTCATAAGGGACATGAATAGTTACCACACTTGGCAGGCAAGTTTTTTTTATAGGACAGGGAGCAAACGAGCATGCGGCTCACCTGATGGTAAGTGACTACCGCCACCCATGAACAACTGGAACACCAGGGGAATTGCAGATACGTTGCCGGCGTAGTCGTATCGGTCCGGAAAAATCGCTGGTGGTAATAGATTCGACAAGGAAGTTGTGCGAGGAAAAAAACATCTTCTAAATCGCACAGTGGTGGACCGCCAATCATCCAGGTGGTATGGATGGTATATATGGCAAGTTCTGTAGCGATGTGCGATGGTGAAATTGAGCGGCTGGCATTAGTCTGAACAATTCTTCAGAGCACTCCCCATGGTAAATGCGATAAAATAAGCAAAGAGATGCAACATCTCTACGCAATGCCAGTGAGTTAAGCCGATCGGAAAGAACTCAGGCGTCGACGATTCGAACCGCCCTGCGCTGGATGTGGTCAAGTGGAAGGAGTTGGCACTGGGGAGCCCCTGCCCAGAGATGGGAACAGTATTCCATGTGAGGCTGAACCTGCGCCCTGTAAAGTTTCAGGCGGTGTGCCAGCATGAAATATTGTCCCGCTCTGCAAGCACGCCAAGCTTTTTAGAGGCCAATTTGGCCTTCTCTTCCAAGTGACCACGAAACTGCACGTCACTCGATATGTCGACGCCAAGGATTCCGATACTGGCTGAGGCAACAAGGGGAGTGCCTTGAAACTGAGATGATACGACAAAGGGGTTCCTTTTAGCGGTAAGCGCGTTACCTTGTGTCTTCTGGGACTAGATTTAGTCTCCCAAAATCCGAGACTTTGTTCAACAAAGTTGCGACTTCAGACACACGTTTATTCCGGTACTCGGCGACGTTTTCCCGAGAAATACTGGCACGGCCGGTGTATAGAGCATCACCAGTTTTGTCGTCTGCATAGCAATGTATGTTACCGATTTGCAACATATCATTGATATGCATAAGAAACAGCGTTGGTGATAGCACGCAGCCATGTGGAACACCAGCGTTGCAATCGGAGCATGAACCATCTACTACGACCTTGATGCTCCGATCAGCCAGAAAACTGGTTATCCAATTGCACAATTTCCCGGGATGCCCATAGGAAGGAAGATTCGAAAGCTTCTTGTCATCAAATTTTTTATTGTTTAGTTGACTATGAAGATGCCCGTCTCCTAACTCTTTTTTTCTACACTTCTTAGGACACAATCGGGACGATGTAGGGTAGTGAATATTTTTTACATCCTTACTACATTTTTAGCGAATAAGGGTAACAAATAAGCATACAGTCCACCTAATGTATGGCTTTATTAATAAGGCACACTGCATCAAGCTCCTATTTGACGCTGGTATTCTGTGAGAGTGTGGTCCTTCCTCGGCCGAGCCGATGCAGTCGTGCTAAATAGCATACCATAATATAAATACTGCATGGCTATACAACGTCAAAGCATAAGGTTAATTTGGACTGATGTTTAATTTAATTTTCAGATAAAGGGCTTGGCTTCTATGATAGCTGTGGAGTGGAACTTCATTTGCAGCTTCATTGTGCTCTTCATCTTCAATCCATTAGTTACGGCTATCGGGTTGGGTCCAGTCTTCTATATCTTCATGGCTGCCTGCTTCCTCTCGGCTATCTTCTGCTTCTTTTTCTTACCGGAAACTAAAGGACTGACTGTTGATGTCATTCAGAATCTCTTTGCAAAGAAACGTACGCAAGTTAGCTAAGTTAGTTAAGTACTTTTACTAACGATAATTATTGTAATACAAGATGTACAATATAATATAGTAAAACGATTATATATAAAATGTCCTTTATATTAATATTATAAGTGTAATTGATTTCTTGAAAACGGCTCTAACCATTTGAATGATTTTTGTATATTTATTTTTCCATGTTTATGTAGAAGTTTAAGTAGGCGACATCGCCTATTTTTTTTTTACGAACATCAAAGCTTATTCATTCTGCGACTAATAATAATTGACCAAAATTGATAGTCTTTAGCTTAAGCCTGTTATGATGGCTGATGGTAAGTGACCATACCATCAACATTTATATATGATTAAGAATCAAAATGTTGCTGCACTATTTACTCTATTGACTCAGACGAATGCCTCTTTACAAGTAACAAGGATTTCCAGTTCTCAACACTCAGGATATGAAACAGTATCTATATGCTGTCATTTTATGATGGAATTCTGCGTGACTGTCAAGCTGACCCATTTATGCTGCAGTCCTAATACAGCTGGCAGCGTGGTGCTACCACGCTAAAATAGGAAGTGTTATTGGTTTTATGAACTTTTGTAATATTAAAAAGTAATTCCATTATAACTGCACTGTCCTAATCTATATCTATTCAATCTATTATTATCTGTTACAAATAAATAAAATTGAAGTGTTTGTTTGTAATGTTAAAATAATAGCTTTTTCTAAATGCATATGACTTTCATATGCATTTAGAAAAAGCTATTATGGCACTACTATTACTATATATGGCAATAATAACAAAAAAAATCAATTTTAATTTTTTTTGTTTGTCTGTTTGTCTATCTATCTGTCTGTTTGTTCCGGATAATCTCCGATATGGCTGGACCCATTTAGACGGGATTTTCACTGGCAGATAGCTAATGTTTTAAGGAACACCTAAAGATAGTTTTATTTTAGAAAAATAATTAGAGTTCCGCGCAAAAAGAAATTAAAACCCATGAAATCTTAGTAATTTCCACGCGGGCGATGTCGTGGGGTGGAGCTAGTTAGATAATAAAAATCTACATATCGGCTCAACCGGGTAAGAACCATGCTCTCACAGAATACCAACGTAAAATGGCAGCTTAATGTTGCTGTTCCGTATAGTGTGTGTAGAGAATCGGAGACACTTTTTACTGGAAACGAGCCATACAATATTATTCCTGAGGGGTGACGACTTATCTGCATTTTCATTAGCAATTGAAGACACATGTAGATGTCTATGGCTCACAGCACCCATTTACCATCAGCTATGTGAGTAGAATGAGTGCTCGTTTGTGAGAGAGTCTATAAAAAATTACTCTAACCAACTGTATTTCATATCAACTGCTCATATCACTTATTAAAATTGAAGTAAAATTGAAGTGAAATGCTTAAAAATAAGAAATAGTGACTCCATTTATTATTTTTAAACATTTCTAATAAATACAGATATAAATAATTTCAAATTAAAAATTTTGTACAGCCGACTTCAATATAAGTTATTTAAGAATAACTTAAAAACTATTTGTCTGACCTTGATCAAATTCATATGGGACCACACGAGAAGTACCAGCTTTCAAATAAAAAAAGAATCATCGAAATCGGTTCACCCAGAAAAAAGTTCTGAGGTAACACACATAAAAAAAAACGAAAAAAAAAAAACATACAGTCGAATTGAGTACCGGCTCCTTTTTGGAAGTCGGCAGAAAATAAAGAGTTTTACATTGAATGAATTAATGAATGAAATACACTTTATTGTACACCAAAAAATACATATGAGAAGAAAAAGGAACATAATTTATTTAAAGGTACAATTGGCGGCCTTATCGCTTGGGAGCGATCTCTACCAGGCAACCACATTGCAGAGGATAAAATGACCTGTGAGAAAGGGTAAGGGTGTACGTAGGTTGATAGAAAATACACACGAAATATAGAATATAATCCATAAATACATACATCTATGATATAAATAAATACATTTTAAATACAAAAATATATACATACATATACGAGAGCAGAAAAGATTAAGCAAGTGAAGTTACACCGCTACAGTCTGTAACTTATCGGCAGATCTTACGGCAAGACAATCCAAGCGGCCGCCGAACACATGGTCCTTTGGTGCTGTAAATGAACGTCTGAGGCTTGGTCGGCTTTCGTAGATTTTGCACAGTTGCCTCCTTCCCTTTGAAATATGTGATGGTATCCGTCTCTACACATAGTTTCTGTTTTTTGCAATGTTTTCAAATGTCATACAGTTGGCGTTTCTTAAGAGAATGTGTGATGAATTTTGGAAGCTCGGAATTCCATGGTTCGCAATACATTTATCTCGATTTCTTTTAATTTTGCAAAGCAGTGCGACGATTCGCTAGCGCTAGTACGGCGCGACTGCTTGCTGGCGCGAATGTGGCACGAACGCAGCAGAACGAAAAGCTGTAGTGCGTTTGTCTGGAGGTAGCCATATCGGCGCGTTCCAGACTTAAATGAAGTCTGGAATGTTCGACCGTTGTAATATTTAACAAGAGTTAATATCTGTTAGCAGGTGGTGATAACTGATAGACCGTATGCTGTTCACTGTCAACCGCACAAGGACGTGCGACAGTCAGAGGTAGCAGTGTCTGTGCATCTAGAAAATTCTAGAGACGTTGCAATACTCTAGCGAAGTAATTATTCTAGTGCAGGAAAGGAACATGAAGTTGCAGGTCTGTGCTGCACTGGGATATGTGTCGAGTTGCTGTTGGTTTACATACTTAGGTGTTATCGTGTCACTACGCCCCTCACGATACACTTTTGTGTGATTGTAACGGGGACATGTTTGCGGTATGGTTGGTCTGTAACTGTTCTATACTGAATTGAAAAAAAAAAAGAGAGTAAGAGAAAAAAATGTGGTTCTTACTATCATTGCAGGGCGTTTGCCGGTCCAATGATATAGCTAAAGGGAATAGTGATTCCGGACTAGCATAAATAGTACTTGAAAAAAAAAGCGTAAGAAAAAAAATAGTTCTTACTATCATTGCAGGGCTTTGTGCCGGTCCAATGATATGGCTATAGGGAATAGTTATTCCGGACTAGCGAAAACAGTACTTGAAAAAAAAAAAAAAGAGAAAATAGAAAAAGCTACAGACTAATCATTCCGATCTAGCATAAAGGTGATTAAAGTTTTGTAGGACTTACTGCCGGGACAAAACTGACTGTCACCCGAGTCTGAAGGGTCAATATAGACCGGACCAGACGCTGTTTTGTCAGGAGAATCGAACGATTTTTTTCTGTCTACAGATAACTAAGATTGTGATGGAGCGCGTGCGAGGACGCACGCATGTCAGTATGGCCGTGACGGCACGTACACCTTTGCACGTACGGCAGCATCGGTCTGGCTAGACAGAATTCTTGTAAACAACACGTGTACCGCACACCTGCGGCATTGTACCTACTTTGCCACCCGTCCTGCTTGTATAAAACGGACGGAGCGGCCGTCGTTAGGACAGTCTTGGCTCTGACGTGGAACGGTACACTTGTCGTATTCCGTTACTAGTTTATCCTCGACTCATTGGATAATTAATTCGTGTAAACGAATTAATTATTATTCCTAGCTACAAAATTAGTCTCTGTACTATACCCACTATACTTCCTACATGTTTAACTTATGATAATCCGCTTTACGAAATAAATTTATTTTGTTATTATATGGTTTCATTGGAGGTATCGAAATGTCTGTAAGACACATCTCAATCGCTGGATGACACACATCCTCCTTAACTAATGGACATTGGCTTTTGTCCATTATTATAGGCACATTGGAAAATACTAAATCTAGTACATTTCCGTATGCATTCTGGAAATAATTATATTGAGATAAACCAAAGTAAGATGTTAAATTTAACAATTCACTTGCCGCGTTTTGAATTTGGACACATCCCCGTTTTAATACTGTTGCATACTCAGTTTTCCAATCAATACAGGGTAGGTTAAAATCACCGGCTATAATAAAATAATCATTTGATTGAGAATTGAATAAGTATGTCAGTAATTCAATAAATTTACTAATTCGCGATGAAAGGGCTCGGTTTGGAGAAATATAGATGCAAATAATATTTAAATTGTGCTGACAACTGATTGCATGCGCAGGTACAGTTATGCAAATGCATTCGAGATCTTCACGGTCTAGGTCAGTACGCCTGCGCGCCCCAAGCCGAGATGCGCAAGCGACCATCACTCCTCCGCCTAGCGTCTCACGGTCACGACGGAATAGATCGTACCTATCTAAGCTGCACAGCTCAGTGTCGAGAATGCCGTCGCACAACCACGACTCAGTGATAAATGCTATGTCAATATTCGATTCGACGAAGAAAGATTGTTAAAAAATATATTCGTTTTTTACGTAAACCACAAACATTCTGATAAAAAAGTTTTAAATTATTATTACTGTGCATATCCGTCGTAGTTAAGATTTAAAAATAGTAATTTTAAAAATAAAAACGTTAAAAACTCGTAAAAATCTATTGCTTGTGGTAGCAATAATTACACATAGATGATTTTTATTGTAATTTATAAAAATGATAACTAAATTAATTAGTACGGGGTTTACGTACACCATAAATACGATATTAAATATTAATACGTGATATTGCCATAACATAGTTATTAGTAATAAGTTAGGAATAAAAATTACATAACAATAAGCAAGCTGTGTTTGTGTGTGAGTATGAGAGTTTTGTGTACAGTACGATTTGTGTGGTAGGTTGTATCCAGTGTGGTACAATATGTATTTAGTGTACGAAGTAGGTGTGTATTTAGTGTAAATGCGTACTTTAATGTATGAGTTAAGCACAAAAAAAATTAAGCATTAGAGATAATATTTATAATATTAAGCCAATCTTCGCTAAGTCGGTTAAAGTTATGATAGGAATGGGTGGCGAGGTATCGTTCCGACGGGTATAAATACAACAGTTTTTTGTCCAGACAAACTTAAAGTTAGCTTCTTTGGCCTTTTGCTTACATTCCT